TTGACAACAATTAGGAACATTGTATTATTTATGACAGATTTATGTCCTTAACATTAATCTAGTCAGAATCCTATGTCACTGACCTTGTCATGCAATTCCCAGGGGAGCTTCTTGATTGACAAGTGCCCCGCCCCTTTCTGTGGAATCACCCCAATGAAGTCATGTGATTTCAGTGACATGACATCTATGCTAAAATAATAGTAAAAGTCCTGTTGACTAAATTTTGTTAGAACAGGAAATAAACACACTGGAGTTTAGGTGTCCCAGATTACCCGAATTCACCCTACATGGTAGACTCTTAATCAGAGTATTGTCTTAATCGTATTAAAATCGGAGTATTGTTGTCCATGTAAACGTACTCAGACTGTTGTGTGTTGCTCGGAGATGTGGCTTTGCTTAGAACTATTTTGTTAGCGAAAATAATGTGTCTAAAATGTAAGTCAGTTAATATTAACTAGGCCTACTTGTTTATTGAACTACTGTTGTATAGAATGTCACATTTGCAATTGTGTTACACAAATGTTACTTGTAAAATTCTCTTTCACTTGCCCCTTCACAAAATCCACTTGTCCCGGACAAGCGTTAATGTCGAGCCCTGCTATGGCCTAGAACAGATGTCTCATCATCTAAACTGTTCTACCATGAGGATGATGGCCTAAAACACTCATCCATCCCCACAATAAATAGACATTCATTAGATATTCAGAGCAATAATTAGACTGCTCTGATAAACATAAAAGTTGAAAGTTATATTGCATGTTTTTACCAAAGAAACATATGAAACTCATCTTTTATTATAATTAATTTAATTTATAAATAATAATTTTGTAATATTCTAAAAAAATGTAAACAGTTATATAGATGTCTAATCACATTTATGGAAATATTACTGATCTGTTGAAAACGTTTTTTTTTTTTTTAACAAATGTTTCAGTTTTGATAAATGCTGTTTTGTGCATGTAATGAGGAAGCGGTTCTTGAATAACATGCCTGGTTTTATTCATCAAAATATATGAATAATCATATTTTTACTGCACAATAATGATGAAAAAGAACATTATAAAATACTAAAACATAAACAATCGAAGGACAGACGTTTGTTTTTCATTAAGAGCTTAATGACAGGACATTCATCAGAGAGGAGTCGGTGTTCAATACTTTAAGAGTTAGAATTATCTTTACACTTTTCTTAAACCAAGGGTACAACAGAGCGTAGATAAGTGGATTGATGGAGGAATTAAGGTAAAAGAGAATCAAAACACTGTTGATAACATTAGATAATGAGTCATCTTTTAAGAAATTAGTTAAAGAAAAAATATAATATGGCAGTAAACACAGGAGAAACACAATGACCAGAATCCCGAGTGCCAATGCGGCTTTTCGCTCTGATTTGTCACGGACTCTGTTTTTGGAGGATTCCATTCTGTTGTGAACCTGAAGGGCTCTTATAGCAGTCGCATGTTTCTTAGCAATGACAAAAACATGAGTGTATAATATTATAATAAGTGTACAAGGCATAAGAAACACAACTATGAGGTCAATGAGGGATGAAACCTCATCTACGATATAAAGACATTCTCCTGGACACGTGACATCAGCGAAATTTCCATTAACGTAAAGAAGAGTGAAGTTATAAAAGAGTGAAAACAACCAGTTAAATAAAGCTGCTATGCAGATAACAGTGGGTGAGATCTTCTCAGAGTAAAGGAAAGGAGAACTTAAAGCCAAAAACCGATCAACTGCTATCAGAGCCACAGTGTGAACAGACACGCTTGTCGCCTGAAAAGTCACAAAATTGAAAACTGAACACATCACTGATCCTGAAATCCAACATGACTCAATAAGCCAAGATAAGTGAAACGGCATCACAAAAACTCCAACCAGGAGATCGCACACAGCCAAAGAGAGGATGAGGATGTTCGCAGGTGTGTGGAGCTGCTTGAAGTGACTAACAGAGATGATGACCAGCAGGTTTCCACACACGGTCAGAAGAGACACAGCCGCTGCGGCCACATACAGAATCACATACACAGATAAAGAAACAGATCTCTCTGGACACCAATATTCCTGACAGACATCGCTTTGGTTCACTGCTGTTAGATTCATGATGTGTGAAGTACTCTGGAGAGACATCAAGTCTTCCTTCTTGTATATAGAACAAAGCAACAATGAATTTGAATCTAATATTTGTATTTCCACCAGAGTGAGTCCAGTCTCATTCGGTCCTCAGTGTAAAGGGTTTGCATTGTTCCCAGTGAGCAGGATGACACCAACTTTGGCAAACAATATGCTTTGCTGATTTTTTATACGCAAATGTCTCCTCCCCTCATCAGTAAATGTTTAATAATGTGCTTCTGCTGGGAGTTCATGTTAATTACATCTTCATCTTTGCACAATCACTATTTATTTTTCATTCTTTCATCATTATATCTTGAATTTCAAACTCAATACACAAGTGTTTTGTTTTTCTCTTTTAAATGAAAAAAAAAAAAGATATGTACTTTCCATCTTCTGAAGGATATTTTTCACAGTTTTCATCTTATATTTGTCAAATTTGGGATACTAAATTTGGCACTTTTATCCAAAGCAGTTTGAGTAAATGTAGAGAAGAAAAATTATATAAAAGACATGAAACTGGCACAAATATACAGAAAATCAAACATTTTATTGTCTCTTTTTGAATATTAATCTATACTCAGACTGGACACAAATTGAGTTTCTCTCACTTCAAACACATCTGGATTAACCTCATATAAAACGGTATTTTCTTTATTTATCTCCACAGCAGCATTTCAGTTTTTGGGAAAAGGGTGATTCAACATTATTTACATAATTTCATTTAAAACTGCAATAAATCATGGAAAAAAAAATGCTTTTCAAATACAACAAATTACAAAAAGAAGATAAATTACTGCCTACACAATAAATTAATTGGGCAGCCCTTTAGCAAGCATTTTGCATTTGTTACTCATTTTCAGCTGTGTGTGAGTAGGTCAAAGGTGAACTGACTCATAAGAGCTGAGCTTAACATACAACTCCACTTTTGACATTGTCTCCATCTAGTGGTTATTTCCTGTCACAACATGTGAGCTGTGTAAACCTGATTTATTTCCCTTTAACGATTAACTCTTCAACACTTTGCACTCTTTTTAGGTCATATAACATTTGTACACAACATCATAGTGATAGACAAAAGTTTATATATATTTTCCTGGATATGAGAGACTTTTTAGGGTCATATAATAAACTGCACATATATTTTTATAATACATAAAATTTCCACAGTTTTTGTTTTATGCTTGAGATTCACATATATGTAGAATCCAACTTATTTTTTTTTTATTAGGTTTTAATTTGCTTCATTTTTAGTTGTTAGATCTGATATCTATATATGTATATATATATGTATATATATATATATATATATATATATATATATATATATATATGAAACTACACTACCAGTCAAAAATTTAGCCACACTTACTGATTATGTTTTGACTAGTAGTGTATTCTCTCTCTCTCAAATTCAAATACAGTTTGAATTGTTTGAGAGCAGCTTAAAAGTGAAGTGCACTTATACACCTTTATAGCAGCAGCTTCATACTGACTGTTAAGAGATAAAAACATTCATTTGTGCCATGCATTTTTAACCACTGAAATCTCATATTCAGGCTATTTTACTATCAGAAATGGCAGCTTCTATAACAAACCAGATGGGTGAAAGATGCATGAAGCTGGAATGATTATCTATTAACAGTAACAATGTTAAAACAATTTTAAACACAAGTTAAGCGCTCTATGTACAGTCTCTGTGGAATGTATAACTCAATGATTTTTTTGCTTTAACAAATGGAGTTAAAATAAGTTTCTGTGGTAATGAACTGCACACCAAAGATACTGTCCGTAGATCTCAACTTGTATTAAATATTCTGTTAGTGATAATATCTTAACTGTATTTAGAAAGCAACTCAGGACAGCTTCAGTTAGTGACAAACCTCCATAACTCATTACAAACATGCCAGTGCAAATGCTGTGGGACATCTGATGGTCAGTTCAGTTTTTGACTGAAGCCCAGATAATCAAACCAATAATGACAGCCAACACAATCAGAACAGCGATCAGGATGAAAATCTTCTTGCGGAATGACGTCTACAGTGAAGAGAAGAAATGAGTCACTAGTATAATAATAATAATAATAAAAAAAGGGTTGTCAATTTAGCATGTTAATAAAATAGTACATTTAATTAATCATTGTATATTTAATTTAATAGCGATATAACGTAAAAAAAATAATGTGATTAAAAATCACCGCATTAATGCAAATTTACTTGAGCTGTAATATATAATAAACCATCATAAAAGTTGGCCGTAAAAGTACACCATCTCAAACACACCAGTACAAGGGAAGCATACAAGCAAATTAGAATTTAAATTTGCATCTATTTCTCATGCAAAGCTAGCGAATGACTAAAGAGGACTTGGAATATAGTGCGTTTATGGTGCTTTTTCATCCTTTTTGGAGCTGGACAGTGTCCATCTCCATCTACATTCATTCGGCTGTTTCTTGTTTTGTGTTCCACAGAAGGAATAAGGTAATATGGGTTTGAAATGACGTAAGGGTGAGTGAATGATTGGTCATTAGTAAAAATAAGCTGTACCTGGTGACTTGCTGCTCTGCCCAGCTGTTGTGTGGCTGTCTGCACGCTGATGTCTGCGTTTGATACATTGGCCTCTATACTGTCTGCAAGATGGGATGGAGATAAACAGAGAAATGACTTTCACAGTTAAACATTCTTTTCTACAGTTTTGCACTGACAACTAACCAAATATTCTGACTCTGTTATCATTAAAAAATATTATTCATTTTTTAAAACATGGATAAGGCATTGTCCTCTTGGATATTATTTAATTTCCATTTAAAATGCTTTAGTGAGCAATATTTCATCATTCATTCAGGTATGCATGTCAAAGTTTTGGTGGACAGCACAGGCAATGATGCAAACTCTTGTAATTTTGATGAAATATCACAAATGTAAACAACACAAGTGTGTGCTTACTAATAGCTCCCGTCTTATCATTAAAAGTTTAGTGCTTGAACAAACAGTCCCACTGAGCCGGGTTGTGTGAAGCCTCGCAGGTCTTCATTATCAGCATCTGCTTCTCCATTTTAACACCTTTAATTGCACTTTCCTGTCTAAGAGTTTCATCACTAAACAGACACTCCCTCAGAGCCAAGTCTAAACAAAACCACACAGATTTATTTTATTTTTAATTATTTTTAATTTTATTTTAACAGGAAATCTCCAGGCCTGCCTTTTTAATCTCTCAGATGTGTTCTGCAAGCTCAGTGTTAGCTGCAATTACACAGGGAAAAAGCAAAATATTAATATTTAAAACAAATTGTAAAATAACAATTTCCTTAAATTGTAGGCAGCAACCAGTTCATATACAGATATATCACTAACCTTGACGGAAGCAGAGATTTGTTTACTGTCCACAAGATTTTGGTTCATTAGACAGCCATGTGTTTAATTTTCAACAATAAAAAATGACACATGAGCACATTAGACCTTCTGGTGCAAACTAACAGTGGTCTGACATTAAAGTTCGGGTTGTTTAATGATATGAATGCTTTTTTCTGAACTCAAATGTGTGTGAACTGAACCGAGTCATTTTGTTTATTTGGACTCACTATTTGAAAGAAAGCAATAATATCATAGGCCTAATATCATAGAGATTTTGGGATGAACTATTTTGACTTGAGCCATTTAGAATGGCAATGCACTGATAACCTCCCAAACAACGTCGCAGAGAGTTCTGCATGGTTGCCACTCAATTTTATTAAGGAAGTGTAAAAATCTAGCTATGCCTCTCTGATCTTACCAATCATGTCTCCCTGTTCATGCACCATCATGCCCAGATCTCTGAAGATTTCATTAATGTCTGTGATGTCCGACTGAAAAACAAGAGAGTATGTTTTACACAACCCTAAAGTTTGTGCAGCAAAACCAACCATTCAAATAGCAGTACATTACATAAGCACAATGCTTATCAATTAGTTCTTCTTTGTTGTCTCTGTGTTTGAACGCGTCTCACCTCCAGCTGTCTGATTGCTGATTCTCTCTCCTGAATGAGCTGCAGATCTTCTTCTGTGATGGTCTCCTCATATCTCTGATCTTGAGCATGAATCTCACTGAAAAAACACACAGAAGCAGACAGTTGGAGACACACATTCCAATTTTTATGCATAAATATGACAAATAATATTAAAGTGTCTAACCTTTGAAAGGGTGATGGAAATCCTCCAAATCCATCATCTATATCACCACCCTGGGGACAGATAGAAGACTGTGAGGAAAACGTATAGAAAACCTTAATAATGTGTGCCAATATGCCACTTTTATTACTCACAAAAAACACCATTATACTTTAAACAAACTATCATCTGCAGTACTGCGACAAAGTTGTTATTCACAATCATGCTCTTTAAACAAACATTAGATGCATCCTATCTTGTGACATATGTGGCTTTTTAAGTAGTATGTATAACCAGGGTTATTATAGCTAACTAAATCTAAAACTATAAAAAAAGTTACTTGAAATAAAACAAACTGAAATACAGTAAATACTAAAAAGTACCAAAAAAAACACCCTTAAACTTATTTTATTTCAGCTAGTTGCCACGACAACATTTCTCCTTTTCGTTTAGTTTAACTTGAAGTACTAAACTAACCCAAACAGACACAACAAAATGACTAAAACTTGTATATTAAATTGAAAACTGAAAATATAAAAATAAAATGTAATTCAAAATATTAACAAAAACTATAATAGTAAATAAATGATACTAAAATAACATTGTATAACTATCAAAAAGATGGACTATAGAAACTGGCACTTTCACGTTAGATATTAGTGTCTGTATAAATGGTCTTGGGATTTAACCTTCAGTTGGGTGGATAATATAAATTTATTAATGTAATTCTTTAAGCACAAATGTAACAGATGAAACATACTGAAATTCTCGAGCTCGCTCGGACACGCGCCACAAACTCCTTCTCTTTCTTTGCTACCTCTCGCTGAGCTTTCTGGAAAAGGGCCAGCGCATTGGAGAATTCAGTGATGAGACGTTCTCGCTGGATTTTTCTTTGCCTCTGTGTGAGAAAAGAGGAACGTCACATCTGAGCAGGACTGTTTAAGGGATAGTTGTTAACCCAAAACTGAAAGTTTGGTTACCACTGGAACACAATGTTAAACAGAACTGTTTGGTTACCAACAGTCTTCAAAATATCTTCTTTTGTGTTCCACAGATTAAATAAAGTTTGGAACGATGAGGATAAGCAAATTATAACTCAACTTTACATTTTGAGAGAACTATCCCTTTAAGTTAAATAATGCCTTTTATTTATTTCTAAATCAGAAAGTTCTGGATGTTGAATGTTCCATCATATAATTCATATTTGCTTAAATCTATTTAAGTGCTGTCACGGGAAATATTGTATGTATATGAGGTGATGCGGTGGGACAGTGGGGACGCTGTACCTGTTCTGTGGTCACAGGTAAAGCACTGTAATCTTTCATGCATTTGTCTGTCACTTTAGCAAGCTGATTGACCTTCTGCTGTTTCTCCTGTCTGTAGGTTTTGACAAATACAAAGAAATATAATTGGATTGACATATACAGGTGCATCTCAATAAATTAGAATGACGTGGAAAGTTCATTTATTTCAGTAATTCAACTCAAATTGTGAAACTCGTGTATTAAATAAATTCAATGCACACAGACTGAAGTAGTTTAAGTCTTTGGTTCTTTTAATTGTGATGATTTTGGCTCACATTTAACAAAAACCCACCAATTCACTATTTGTTAAATGTGAGCCAAAATCATCACAATTAAAAGAACCAAAGACTTAAACTACTTTAGTCTGTGTGCATTGAATTTATTTAATACACGAGTTTCACAATTTGAGTTGAATTACTGAAATAAATGAACTTTTCCACGACATTCTAATTTATTGAGATGCACCTGTATGTAGGTCAATTAAAGGGAACTGAACTAGCTGCTTGTATTCAAACTCACAATGTCTGTCGCAGGTCAGTCATGTCTTGTGCTGTTCCAAAATGTCTCATCATCTGCTGGATTTCATTAGCTGGTAAAAATGGAAGACAATATCTAGACGAACACATACTGGAAAACACCTCCTGTGCTACTGGTTTATGTAAAAGTGAGCATTATGGTTTCCATTCATTTCTATAATAAATTCGCCTACACACTTTTGCATGTTGTGGTTTCTAGATGTGTTTTTATTTCACATTACAATGAGTAACAGAAATATGGGCAACATTTGGTACAAAGACTGAACAACCTCCCAGTTAGTTTTATGCCAAAATGGATGGTTATATAATATATATAT